GGGGCCCAGAGGCTTTTTGACACATGTAATGTAGGGATTTTTTCATGCCTTTATTACTTATGCTGAGTTTACTTATGCTGAGTTTTCTTCTGCTTCATAATCATAGCTAGCATTTATATATCACTTTAGGTTTGCATAGCGCTTTACAAATATTTCATTTTTATTCTCACCGTAACTGAAGGCGCTATTATCCCCCATTGTACCGATGGAGAGACTGAAGCAGGCAAAAGTGAAGTGACTTGTCTAGGATCACACAGCTAGCTAGTGTCTGAGGGAGGATTTGAACTCGTTTTCTTGACTCTAGGTTCAGCACTCTAGCCACTGCTCCACCTAGTTGCACACCTAGTTTTAAGGTGGCTGGAGTTGAGTAGTTGTACTGGTGAGATGCTGTTATAATGAGGTTTCAGAGGTAATAGAAATAACTGAGCTTTATGTAGAGCTTTACATGTTCTTACTTGAGCCTAGCAACAACCTTATGAGTTAGATACTGCAAGTATTATTTCTGATGTACAAATGAGGGAATTGAGGCTTAAAGGCGTGTTGTTATTTGGCTAGGGTCACAGGGCCAGTAAGTATCAGGGGCAGGATTTTTGAACTGGAAACAAAAGTAGGTACTAATTGAGGAAAGGCTAACACTGCAAGGTCAGGAGGATTATTACTGTGCCATACAAAATAATGAATATAATTAATAACAGAGAAGCAGGGGAAAACATACAATTGAAAGAATGAATAAGGCATTTATTAAGTACTACTGTATGTGCAAACTACGGTGCTAAGGCTGGGGATACAAATAAAAAAAATTCTACTGGAAAGAAGCTTACATTCTAAGGGAAGAAAAAACATGGAAGATTTCAGCTGCAAGTCAAATGGAAAGGTCCCATGGACCTTAGGGTGTGGTGGCAAAGCAGGATGGTAATGCCTCTTTTTAAATGTCATTTACACTAACAAAATTATTTCAATTTCTGATGTAAAACTGATGGGGATGGGATCTGAACCCCCAAAAGGAAAAGACCATGTCTTTGGGATCTGAATCCCAAAAAGGAAAAACCTTGAACTTTCCCACCTGGCCTAAACTCTGGCATTCACCTGAGGCTATAATCTTATCAACTGGTCTTTCATTGTGGCTACTCCCAATCTCCCAATTCTATTTTGTTACCACTCCCATCCAGATCCTCAGACACCCCCTCCTGGTCCAGTCACCCCAAACTACTCAGCCACTCCTAGATCCTTCCCACAGTCTTTCTACAAAAATGCTTAGATTCCTTAAAAGTTTGCCCAATATGGTGGATATTCTAATAAACCTCGTCTTTGGCTGAAGGAAAGCTTGGGTCAAATTCTTTCAGGCAAGACCCGCATGTTTTGATTTTGGGATCCCAGCACCCCTAGCCTCTAAACCTCAACAAAACCATTTGACAATGCCAAGGATTTTGGTGACAGGAACTTTCTTTTCTTGGTCTTCAGTAGCACCAGAAAGAGTAACCAGATTGTATTATCACAGAGTTGTTTCCCAGGTGGATGGTTGAGGGCACTTCACTGGAAGCAATGCTACTTTCAGATCTTTTGGGCCCAGGGTTCTTGGCTATCTCCATCAGGTTATGAGAGTAGATGGTGGTCAAGGTGGTGATAGTGGTTTGACTGGCACGTGCTGCTGTCTGTTTCTCCTCTGGGTGCATGGAAGTTTGCTGTGGGTGGAGGTTGGTTGAGATGACTGACCCCCTCTGCACAGAAGCCCCTTTCCTGAATGATGGTTTTGAGCAATGGGCTGGCAGCAGGACTGGTAGGGCTTTTTTTTGGGGGGGGGGGGTGGCTGCCACATCCAAGGCTCCTGTACCTATCTGCCTGTTCTTGTCGTTTGGTTAGCAGTTGTTGCCTGTGGTGATGAAGAAAATAGGGCCCTTCACAATGATTTTTGAGACTGTACTACAAACAGTTCTGGTGGTTTTGGGGTCTCTGTTATTCCCAAGTCTCTTGAGGTCAGAGTACTGAGCTGTCTTCATCAAGGTCTGGGAGGAAGGAGAGGCCCCATCTTTGACCTTGACCAGGTCTCCACCCAAACCCTGCTTTGACTAGAGGAAGACCTTTCAAGTTTCAGAGTCCAGAGATGCTGGGTTTCCCACATTCCCATTAATGCCCTAAACAGCTATCAGAAGTGCTGTCTTTGGAAGCACTAGATTCATGACTCTACAAGGAACTCAGCAAAGAAACTGTTTCAGACCTGAGGGAAATTTCTTGATCATTCCACAAATGGGACAAAATAACTTCCAGGAACCAGGAGCTCTGGGTTATTCCTTTGCCACATGTGCTTTCTAAGCTTGAGCCCACTTTCTCCCCAGTTCTTTTACTTGTAGGAAAGTGTGTCACAGATTTTGGTAGGATGTTTTGTACCAACTAATCTTATTGTACCACCTTAGTAAATATCCCTTTCTAAAAACTATTAAGAAAAAATATTAAGATTGGCTGACTACATTTATTCCCAACTAATAATTTTGGGACATATATACTGGTGGGGGCCTGAGTTAATGGAATTAGAGAATCACCCCTGAATTCTCAGGAGGAATGCCTAGAAACTTGAGCCAGCCTAGTTCTGGGAACCTGACTAAGAATGGGAGTTGGGATAAGGATGGGCCACACATAAAACAGAGGAGGGTAGCAAAACTGATTAGAAATCAGAATCCGACAGTATATTGTTTACAAGAAATAGACTTGAAATGTAAAGATTCACACAGAGTTTAAACAAAGGGCTAGAGCAGAATTTCTTATGCTTTAAGCAAAATTTAAAAAGCAAGGATAGCACTCATGATCTCAAACAAAGACACAGTAAAAATAGATATGGTTAATAAGTAATAACAGGTAAACTGCATTATGATTAAAGTCAGCATAAATGAAAGAATATCAACACTTATTTATATTTTATTTAAATACTCATCAATATTTATTTATCAATATTTATTTAGGAATATCAATTCTTATTTAATATTGAATGGCATAGCATCTAAGTACTTGAAGGAAAAATTAACTGAATTACAGGGAAAAAGGGATAGCAAAACTGTAATAGGTGACCAAAATGTGCCACTTTCAAAACTGGGCAAATGTCACAAAAAGAAATCAAAAAGAACTTAAGGACCTGGGCAGAAGAGTTAAATATTATAAATCTCTGGCTGTTACTGAGAATATACATATTCCTCAGTAGTATACAACACTTTTACAATGCTGGGGCATAACATGCTAAGGCATAAAAACCTCACAAACCGACGCTAACGAGCAGAAATGTTAAACACATCCTTTGCTGACAATAAGAAATAAAAATATAATCAATAAAAGATATTTGAAAAAAGGATTCAAACTTAAGACTAAATTCAATCTGAAAGGACAATATGTCAAAGAACAAATAGAAATAACAGATAATTTCATGAAAGTAACAAAAGTGAGGTAATGTAGCACAATTTTTGGAATGCAGCCAAAGCAATCCTTAAGGAGAAAATTTATATCTCTAAATACTGTCACCACAAAAGAAAGAAGGAATAAATCAATAAATTGAGCATGTAACTAAAAAATTTATAAAGTCAGCAAATCTAAAAGTCCCAATCAAACACAAAACACTCCCAGGATCAGATATGAATTCATTCAAATATTGAAAGAAAAATTAATTTCAACATTACATAAATTATTAACAAAAATAAGGAAAGAAAGGATCCCACCAAATTCCATATAAAACAAATGTGGTCCTATCACCTAAAGGAGAGAGACAAAGCAAAGTAAGAAAACCATAGGCCAATATTCCTAATAAATATCTGTAAAAATGCCAAATACATTATTAGCAAGGAGGCTACAGAAATATAAATGATTATGTACTGTAATCAGGTTGGATTTATACCAGGAATGCAAAGTTGATTCTGTATCAGGAAAGCTTACCTATATAAGCTTAATAGACTATATTAATAATAAAAATAATAAAAATCATGATTGTATTAAGATATAAAAAATACAACACCCACAACTATTTTTTTTAATTAAAAAGCATAGGAATAAATTTACCTTTCCCTTTAATATGATCAGTTGCATCTATTTGTAGGGATATAGATTCTGGGTGTCTGACATTTTGGTGCACCAGTCGTAGTTAGTATCTCTTCTGTATCATTGATTGATGCAGTGATTAGCTTACCATTATCAATTTAACCAGTTGATTTCTCCTAATGGATATTATTTGTTGTTTAGTCGTTTCAGTTGTATCTAACTATTTGTGACCCCATTTGGAGTTTTCTTGGCAAAGATACTGGAGTGGTTTGCCACTCCAATTCATTTTACAGATGAGGCAAACAGGGTTAAATTACATGCCCAGGGTCACACAGCTAGTAAGTGTCTGAGGCCAAATTTGAACTCAGGGAGATGAGTCTTACTGATTCTAAGCTCAGTGCTCTATCCACTGTGCAGCAAGATATAACAATAACAGAAGTACAGACACATCCTCCCCAATCAGGGGCACTCTCTTAGCTCTCTCACCTTGGTTGCTGGGGGAGAGTGGGCTCAAAATTAAAATGGTTGCTACTAAACATTTGCTCCCGTAAGTTCACTTCTGGGTGAGATATAGCTTCTAGATGAGATCCTCTCTTCCCTTAAGACACAGCATTTTAGCTCCCAGATTCTGCTGGACTGTGTCAGAAGGTGGTCCTTATTTGATGCAGCAGCTACAGTTACTGGCAAACCCTGCTGGTGACCCATTAAATTGTAAGCTTCTCCATTAGATTGTAAGCTTCTTGAGGGCAGGGACTGTCTTTTGCCTTTTTTTATATCCGCAGTGCTTACTTAACACAGTGCCTGGCCTAGAGTAGGTGCTTCATAAATTCTTATTTAGTGATTGATTGATTGTCTCTTCCAGTCTTTCAAAGTTCATAAGATTGTTTGGTCTTATAACCTCCTTCACCTACAAACAGGAAAGAGTAGACACAACTGAAATAGAATTAACATAGGTACCTTATGTATTAGGA